TATATATATTGCAGCCACTTCCTCAATCCCTTAGCTTTTGCTCATTCCTCTAATATATCCGTCTCTGATGCTGGAGTACCCTTATGCTGTTAAATGATGCATGTGATTTTTTTTCACCTTATTCTCTTTTTTGATACTAAGTGGTAAATATACTGATGTTTCAGATTTTTTCTTCTGTGTTTATACAACATTTGTAATAGTAGAATGTCTGTCCAAAATAGATTTTTTTTTTGTCATTTCTGTGTTCATGTTAATTATTAATAGAAATACCTACAAAATATTAATGAAACCAGGTAGGCTGTTTAAACAGAATTTATCCTTTCAATCTAGTATAAAACAATGCAGACTTTATCACTTAAATTTCTTAGTGTATACTTCCTCTGGAACAGAAAAGCAGTTATTAAGTAACTATTATTTTGAATGGTAAGAAACAAAACATGTGCTCATCTGAAAAAAATCTAATAGCAGCAGAGTGACATGGAATTCCATAAAATCTATTTTTTCTTAGTGATTTTCTTGACCTATATTAGGTAGTATCAAAAAACCCCAAATAAACCACCAGCTATGGAGAAATAAGATTTTGTGCATCTACTATTTAAGATGCGCGAATGATTTACCAAGTAGCTTGAAATGTGACTGTCATGTCCTTTCCTGAATCTCAGCACCAACCTTTTTGAAAAAAAACTGTATTATTAACTTACGTCCTGTGGCTCAAATAACAATCAGATTTGTAGAAGAGAAAGAAAAACTTTAATGTTTCTTTTTCCGTTGGGAAAAAACTTGGAAGGATCAGCTATTTTGTTCAAGAGTCTTTTTCTGTGAAATAACTTACTCATGAGACAAAAGAGATTGCCATGTGTTTGTCTATGCTTGTTTTTATACTTAGTCTTTTGGATAATTAATCTCATCACATCTTTAAGTCCGAAAATTTTTTCACCATTGGTTTTCTTGTTACACTTTTCTTAGCTATTAGCTATTCTTTCATGCAGAAATTACATTGCTCTTCACCATTAGGCATAGCGATGTATCTTACTTCTAAAGAATATGTTTTTCAATCTGTTGTTTCAACTTCCTTGCTTGAAAGCAGAACAGGATAATCATGCAGACTGAAATAATCACTTTGCAAATTTTTACAGGAAGCAAATAGATTGTTTTGTCAGCAAGAACAAAAGCTCTTGTGGTGTTTAGGAGTTGAAAACATTCTACGTAAAGCAAGGATGCAATTATTCCTCCTAATTTCAAGGAAACAAAATTAAACTGTCTAGTTTTGTTTCACTAATATAGCTTCTAGAGATTGTGCTTAAATGATCAGTGAATACATGTGATAGCTACTTTCTTCAAGTTTAAAAAAAGACCAAACAAACCCATTACTCTACAGCCAAAGAATGGCTTCCGGGCACTAGGGAAAATTGTGGCATATAACTATAGTGGCCTTCTAATATGTAAATCAGTGAAGGTGCTCAACAAAAAAACTACCTATGTACAGATAAATATCAGTGTATCTCTTCACTTCAGACAAGGGCTTATTGCAATACCTGAGGATCCAAATTATTTATGATCTCAAATGAATTGTGACCGAATTATTCACAATATATTTCACAATTCTTTTTCACTGGGGATCAGTTTGTTCATTGTCTTCAGGATTCTTTTTCCTAGAGTACTATTTTAATGTCAGCCATGGAAAACACTGGCTGGTTTACTGATGAAAAAGTATCAAAAAGATAATCAAAAGGGAAAGCATAGTCCTTGTACACATATAATGCTACAAAATGAAGTAAATACACATATATGAAGAACTGAAGTTTTTAAATGTTGATGTGACTTTTATAAAATATGCTGTTTGGAGGCCCATGGACTCAGAACTAAGCATACCTCTTGAATTTGATGAAGGCACAGCTTTAGAAATAGCATAAAAATTTGCTAGCATGTTTTTGATTATTCCTGTTGGAGTCTATAGTATTTTGTTATGTAAATTGAAGTGTCAGTAAAGACCAAAGGGTCTGTGATTTACGACTTGTGGATGGTAGGTCAGGTTTGGTGTTTTTTTTTTTTTTTTTTTTTTTTTTTTTTTTTTTTTTTTTTTTTTTTTTTTTTTTTTTTTTTTTTTTTTTTTTTTTTTTTGGTTTGTTTGTTTGTTTGTTTGTTTGTTTCTGTTTTTCCTCTCTGTTCTTGTCTCTGGGCATGAAACATATCCCTCACACCTTTTTGTCATCAAACTACAAGAACACTTGGAAACATGATTGAGAATGGGTGCTGCAGATGGATTTGTTTTGATGAAAAGAACTCGTTCATACAAAAAGAAATGTGAAAAAAAACGCTTGTGCGAAGCTATGCTAGCAGGAAAAATGAATCCCAAAGGACCCATACAGGATTAAGAAAGACAGTGCTGATAACCAGAGAAAGCCAACTGCAGGCAAATGCGTATTCAGGGGTGATGTTTCACTTGTAAAGTGTAATCAGGAGAGGTCATCTAGGCAGCCCCATTTACATGTGTTTTGAAAGACTGTCTTCAGAAAGGGCAAAGACAAGAATTGCAAAAGCCCACGGGGTAGTAGTTGCAAAAACCTACTGTTGCTACTTTTTGAGCTATTTCAAGATATCTTCTGCTATTATTGGCCAATTTTTCCCTCTGTAGCATACAGGGAACAAAGGGACGTTGTCAAATGGAAGCTGCAGATCCTTCTTCTGTGAATACTTTGTCATTGTTTCCCACTGTTTGCTAGCTACTGCTAGCCCCTTAACATTTCAGAGAGATTAAGGAATTTCTTAGGAAGGATATATTACTAAAAAATAATGGTATGTCTTTAAAATGTCATGCATCATTTCCATGCCTAAACTGGAATTCCTTAGAGTAAGCCTAGAATGATGCAATGAGATTTTTTTTTTTTTCCTGTATCAAACAAGTCTCAGAATTTTTAGGATAACCCATTGAAAATAGTTCAGACAAAGTTTCTAGATATTTAGATATATATTGGATGGCTATTTCTTTGTGATTTATGATTATGATTTAAGAATTATTATGGTTTTAATATAGATATATCTCATATATTGTAGTTAACAAGATTTTTGCGTTCCGCCATACAGAAAATGAAGGAGAAAGTAACTTTGCCTCTTATCTTTTTGAAGTTTGCACACAGAAGGGGAGGTTTACTTTTTTTTCTTTGTATCTGGTTGTCTTCTGTATTTCTGCCTCTATCTTAGGTCATCCTTGGCTTAGATACTGTTAAAGAAAATCATGCTTTTTAAACCACAGCTTTCTCAATAATCTGGTAACTACCACAGCTGTTTCTTTAATCTGATAGACTCCCTTACATAACAACTGTCCTTTCTGATCAAAAATGACATTCTTAACATCACTAAATTCTTAAGATTTTCTGACAGGAAATGTTTTCTGGGACATACGGTCAATTACACAGTGTGCTTACCAATATTTTTTTCCAAGAAATAAATAAAGAATCCTACCAAGATAACATAATGAAAAATAAACTCCTTGAGTTTGGATGCATTTCTGGTATTTAGTATTTGTACTAATAAGCAATAGCATTTCTTCTCTGAAAATTTTATCATTAAGTGAGCCTGTGTTGTCTCTTAAAATATTATATTTTGCCTTCTATCTGAAGAGTTCCATCTTCAGGCTTTAAAAGCATTTAAAGCTTTTAGTAGAGCTACTTCTGTTGTGTAAAATCAATTTATACTCTCCAGTTTACTTCTGACTGTCCTCTGCCTAAATAACTAAATAGACTAAAGTCAAGAATTGAAAAGCATATTAACATTTATGTTTACATATGTTTCAAGTTTGGATAAAAAAGTGCTCATTGACACGTTATCACTCCTGTAATAATATCAGTAAATTGCTGTTTGTGTAGTTAATTCTGCCTCTTAATCTAACTACAGACAGGTAAAATAAGGAAGAAACAGTATTTTTATACATGTAAATGTTTAAATAATTTGTGAGTATGCTCGGAACATTATTTCTAGGTAAAGTTGGAAATGCTATAGAAACTCATTGGGTTTTACTATCTGAAGTGACCCCAACTAAATCCTCCAAATGTGTATGTCAGGCAGAGCTCTGACACACAGAGATTTACTACACTGCCTCCAGAAGTGGTGCAGAATATTTGTACTTGGTTTGCCCTTAGCTTGAAAAAGCAGAGAGGTTTAAAAATTCTGAATCCCAGAAACTGGTCCAAAAAAGAAGCACAATAGTGACTATAGTCTCCGCAAAACCAGAATTATTCAGGTTTCAGGTGGCTTTTTTCCTCTTCCCCAAAAGCTTTGACATTGCTATTAATGCTTGGAATCTAACAAAAATAACAGATGTTGTCCTTGGTTCTCCCTTTGCTGTTAGTGCTAAAAATGCTACAGCTGCAGCATTTTCCAGATTTTCAGAGACACTTTTAAATATTATTATGCCAATTGAAGAATTCACTGTCTTTGAAGGTTTGAAAAGCAGTTCTAGGAAATTGAGTAATTACTTTAGCATATGTAATAATTTCCATGCTGTTTATATAAACATTTCTAATAAAAAAATATTTTATGCTTAGTACATACCCGTGTAGTTTCCACTTGTAGTAGCATCTTCCATTATTATAAGAAAAGTTCAGATCTTCAGATATAGCCAAAGCCACAATAATTCAGTTCTGCATAAATAAATGGACCTTTGTGGGATAGTGAATAAGCAGTCAGGGATCTTAGGAAAGAATTGCTTTTCTGTGTTATTAGGATGAGAAGGTCTTGATTTTATTTTCCTGGTGAAGAAACTTGCCTTTTAAGTGGAAGGTTCATGGGGATACATTATTTGGGAGCTGAGATTTGACAGCTGTCTGCATCATGTGACCTTCTGAGCACGTGCTCACTAAAGGTTCAATTCCTTTTTTTTTAATTATAGCATTCACAAAGCAGTTATTAATACAGAAAGTCTGCATAGTTAACAACCCTACTACTCTTCTGGGGAATGAAAAGTGAGAAATAAATTTAAAAAAAATATTATTACTGGTTTACTACCTAAAAAACTGGTGAAGAGTGGTCAATATTGTCTGAAGTTCTAAAGGAAAAGTTCTGCACAATACTCAGATACACTGCCATAGACAAGATAATTGCATACCCAATTCTGATAAGAATTGGGTATGCATTTACTTACTGTATCCCATTCAGCAAACTATTCATCACTTGTGTAGAAATAGAAACACACTGAAATCCAATACTTAAAAATGCCATCGTTTCAAACAATGCAAGACAATAGCCTCAGTTCATCACATTTTACCTCTTCCATAAAATTCTACAAATAAGGTTTACAAATATTGCTAATTGTGTGTTACTGATCTAATGCAGAAGAGCTAGAAGGCATCATTTGCAAAAATATTTTTGAGTTCTGCGATTCGTTATCCTTCAGATGCCATTTGTTTTCTCACAAAATGCAGAATCTTTGTATGTAAAGGAAATTCGTGTGATCATGATTGTAAGTAGTGATTTTGCATATTGAGTAAACTGTTACCAAATCTGTTTTGATACTGACAAATTTCTGATGAGTAAGGTGGTAACTTAAAATTACTTTTTCCTTTAATTTTTTTTTTTTTTTTTCAAGAGAGCTAAAGCATGTGAGAAGACCATTACAGTTGGGCAGACAGTCATCACGAAACACAGGAATACACGATACTATAGTTGCAGAGTCATAAAAGTAACATCTCAACTTTTCTATGAAGTCATGTTTGATGATGGATCTTTCAGTTTGGATACTTTTCCTGAAGACATTGTAGTAAGTACTTTGTCAGATACCTGCTCTATTTGGTTTGTTTTTTTTCCCTTTTTATTTTTTAATTTTATTTTTAATTTGGGTTGTTTGTTTGTTTTAAATTAGATAGCTGGAGCCTCTTGAACTACTTCTTTTGACCTTGAGGGGATAATGTCTTAATATTCAGTTCACATTTGTTACTTTTACTGCTGAGAATGATTATTTTCTAATGGGCTTCCAAACCTTGGCTGTTCTAATTAGTCTTTGCCAATTGTTGAAGTGAATCAAAAGTAATCTTGGTAAATCTTTTAATTAAATAAGAAATAGGTATTTAATAAAGGATATGAAAGAGGGAATTCCATATATTGTTCTCTGTCTCTCAGAGATAACTTGTAAAAATTCCTTGCAGAATAGAAAAATGGTGCTGTAACGGGAAAAGCAGCTCTCAAGAATCTGTTCTAACAACTTGTTTACACCTTCTGATATTTAGTTTGTGAGATTACATTATTAATGATAAAAATCATTAGGGCCAAGATTGTGTAGTTTATTGCATTTTGAAAAAGCAATTGAGATTTTGATTTCCCTTATGCATTTACATAAACTACCACATTTCTCAGAACTGGTAAGGACCACATTTTGCACTAAGCGTGTATGAATTAAATTTGCAGACAATTTGGGAAAGATTCTGTTTTTCTCCCCATTTGCAATTAATACATTGGATATTAACCTTTACTGTGTTTATCAGGTGCCCTTTGTTGTCTTTCTCATGACATGACTGTAATCCTTGTTTACCTTCATGTTCCTCTGAGTCTTTCTTGTGCTGGGCTGATGTTCTTGGTGTAGCTTCTGCAAATACTCCAAAAGAGCCCTCAGTGAACACTGATATGCAAAAGTGCTGTTTGTTCCAAGACCACTTTTCACTTAGATCTGTGTCCTGTTCTATGTGTAGATGGAAGGAGTCTCGCATATGCAGCAACCCAAAAGAATACACAATTTGCAGCTCAAAGAACACAACGGTTGGGAGTGCTTCATATTCTTCTCCGGTGAAAGTCTTTAAGCTGTTCTATTTTTGGCAGGCCTAATGTTTTCATGGTAGTAGCATTAGCTGACCGGTACATCAATGGAAATACTACTATTGTTCTTAGAGGCTTCTTACTTACTGAAAAATCTGATGCCATTTGAAAATACAGTATTTGAAAGGGTGAATTTCAGTGCAGTGTGGGTGGATTGAGCTGTTTACCTCCCAGTGGCCTGAATAGAAAACAGTCAGCAAGTCCCTCTTACATGTCTTTGAAAATTTATCCTTTAATTCAAAACACTCCAAAAGGCTCCATTAATGATCAAAGACATTCTGATTTAGAATGATCAAGATATTAAGTAAATGTGTTGGTATTGTTATTGGAAACCCCTCTTTTGTGTATGCCTGCATTGAGGATCTGTTGAGGCAGAGATGAGAAACTGCCTGCCACCCTGGTGGTGTGATCTGATCAGAAGCTAAGAATAAATGTAATCAGGTCTCGATATGCCTCAGCGCTTCTCAGATAGTGGATGAACAACATATAATTGTTTGATGGAAACACCAAAGGAATTTCACATTCCTCAGAGAAATCTTTTTGTGTTTTCATTAGATAATATACCTGCAGCAGTTACTGGAAGGGAAAAAAAAAGAAAAGTTTTTTCTTCTGCCTGGACTAAAACTTGCTAATCCATGCAATGTGCGTATCAGGTGTTAGTGCCGCTGGGAGGACTTATTCATCAAATCTGGTGTGAAAGCAATATTGCTGCCTATTGAAGAACTTATTTTTCTAATCTGTTTTCACTTTTCAACTAGCTCACAAAGATAGCAGGAGCTTTCTGATTTTCCAGTATGTGCTGAATCCACTACATAATTTCAGCTCAGCTCACAATAGACCACAATTCCGATGTTCAGACACAGTGGTTTATTTTTAAGGAGGAAGAGAGGGAGCAGGAAAATCTCAGTCTCGAAGCTTCATCAAACTGCGTGGAAGCCTTCAATAACTGCTAAAGCAGGGTATACATTGTTCTTGTGTATTTTTCTTGGTTTGTGTTAGCATTTGCTAAATATATTAGGATGGGTTTTTTATTAAGTGTAGTTGTTAGATGTAGGTATAATTTTATTTATTTTTTTAAATCTTTTTACTTCAAGCTATTGCTTGGGTACTATACCTGATTTCTACCTTGTCAGAATTTCTTAGAATAATCATTCCTCAATTACAGTGTTTAAAACCATTAGATAGCTCTTCTGATGTGCCAGCCAGACACCTTTCCCTCAGCCCATCAGGTGTAAGCAGGTGCAAAGAAGTATATGGGTACAGTTTTTTTCTCTGGAATAAACAGCAGGGCAACTTCCTCTGGAGGTAGTGGAAAGACTGCAGTGAGATGGTTAGGATGTGATACCTTAAAGAAGGTGAGATGACAACTTTAGCAGTTAGTTTAACAATGCAGGCACACATGTGGAATGCATATCCTGCAGTCCCGAGTAACGGACAGCATGTATGCATGCCACTTGCCACTTCTTGAAGCATTAATGCTCTGTAAATTGTCACACAGCCCGAGGAGGGGGGAACTCCAGCTCAACACCAGGAGGAGTACTATCCTGCCCAACAGGCCAGATGTCAGTGTACAGATTATGCATCAGGAAATGTCTCAGTTCTTTGGCCTGTTCCTTAAGGATTTAGGGAAGGTATCTGACAGGTGGTTTTTTTTGTGTCTGCTTGTTTGTTTGTTTGGGTTTTTTTCCTTTTTTTTTTTTTCCCCCTCCTGGTAGATGTATCTCCACTAGCAAATCTTGACAGTTTCCTAAAAATTAATATTCCTGGTATTTAGCTGAGAGTTTTATTTGTTTCTCTCTATATTGTGGCTGTTGATAGTGCCTTAACAGCAAGTATAATTAAAATATATAACCTGAAATTAGAGCTAAGCATGAAGGTCTTTCCACATTACCTTATTAAAATCCCAGCTCAACAGGGAGGCCTTGTAGTGTATTTGGTTGAGGTCAGAAAGGTGCCACCAAATTATATTGAGAGGAAGACAGGAAAAAAACATTTTGCAGAATCAAGCATGCTTTGAGTCTGTGGGGACGTCTGATCACAGGAAAGCTTGAGCACACCTCTCCTGAAGCAGCAGACATCCTCCCAGGCCACTTGCCCCGCTAAGTGTCCTAGTCTTCCAGCCCACAAATCCTCACTTTACACCCCTTACAAAATTATGAACTGAAAGCTTCAACATCTCATGACCTATCTTCTAATGTATACATTGATGCACTTATCCCATCTCTCTTGATGATTGTGGATGCACTGCAATTCTGAATGATCCATCCTGGCCTAGATATCTGGCAGGGGTTTGAAGCAGCATAGGCATTTATGATCTTAGAAGTTGCTCACGATGAGGTGAACTAATTGGGATGAAGTACAGCCAAAGGAGTCAGGCTGAATACAGTTTGTCCCAAGGATAGTATTATTAGACTAATGAGAGACAGAATGGATTTACTTCATCCTCCTTTGATATACAGAAAAAATGAGATTTAGCTGGATGGTTCTTCAAAAATTGTATCCTCCACAGGCTAGCTACTGGGAACATCAGTTTAAAGCTATCATGTACCATTATGTAGGTGGGACTTTTTGCATGTGCGGGTTAGAAATGGTAGCTTCCTTTTGGGGCGCGGTGAGTGTTGGTGCTCAGGGATCTAGGTTAAAGAACAAAGTCTTCTTTACAAGAAATTCTCCTGAATAACTTTGTCTGTGACTACTGACTTTCACTGGTGCAATAAATATGTCTGCATATGTCAATGGAGACACTCAAGCAGCTTCTCAATTTCTGTATATGTTCATACTTCTGATGCTGTTTCTGAAAAACAACACTGCTTGAACAATGGACATTCGAAAATATTGGGTTAGCTTGTAAGTCTTGGCAGTCCATTAATGTCCACCTGCATACAGAAAACAGAACATTTAATTCTAGCCCTAATAATTTCTGAAGGTTGCTGTGGAATTTGTTTGTTTGTTTTTTTTTTTTTTTTTTTTGTTTTTTTTTCCAGTCTGTCCTCCATACCAGATGTATGTAACTTTTTCTCCATCAACCTTGTCTGGCATTATAAATGAATAAACTCCTGATCATTTTCTGGCATTTTTTTTCTATTTTTTTTTTCTTTTTTTCTGTATGCCTTTCTGTCTTTATCTCTTCTGATGACTGTTTTCTGCTTGTCTACCTGTTCAAATCAAAACTTTAAATAGTAGTGCTTACAGACAGTAATAGTTTCTTGTTCAGTTTTATTATACTGATATGTAACTGTGCAAAGAGTGGCTAAGAAATTAGAAATGCCAAAAT